GCAAATTTCTGATTAAAATGAAATATCTTCCAGCTTTTCGTGACCTTTCTTTGCAAAGTTATAGAATTTACACGAAAACCCTAAATTAATTTCGTCTTATTTCTGTACCTTTGAGCTGACTATGAATATTCAGGACTTTTCGTGAAAATTCTTTAACTTTGTAAAGAAAGGTTGCGAAAAGCTGGAAGATATTTCATTTTAATCAGAAATTTGCGAGCTACAATCATGCCTCATTAAGAAAAGTTTTGGTTATTTTTCAGAGTTTCTGAAATACTGATATTCCAGAAAACCGAGCCTTAAAGAGCCATGGGCCCGAACTTTTTTAGGCTTTCTCTTATTTCAATATACTCTATCGAATGACGTATGAATGAACGAAATCGGAAGAGTTCACCGAAAAGCGTTCTCTCGTGAGATGTAGGGCCACCAATATCACTTTTGTTTCATGGATAAATAGAACTTTTATTTCTTATTGACTACTTGGACCACTTTTCAATAGGTTCCATCAAGATTTTCCGGTTTTCTCTTCTGGTCAAAGTTGTGGACGAAAAAAGGAGTTTCACATTAGTACTAAAATGAACGTATCTGAAAATNCCCATTGTTTACTTTATCGAAAGAAAATTTAAAATGTTCGAACGTTGAAAAGGTCCATTTATTCCCAATATCGAAAAATAACGTAGTTTTATTCCTATTCATCGTTCATATACTTTCATATTCTAATAGAATCATCAAAATATTTGCACTTTGTTCTGATTTATTGAATCATGTGAAGAGATTCTTTAGATGAGAAAGCATTCAAGTGGCCAAATTATCCATGAAAAACAAAATTCATGTACTTCACCAACGAATTCTTTTCATAATATTCCGTCAAAAAATATAAAAGTATTTTCACTATGACGAAATAATAGCAGGATTATCTGTAATGAAAAAACGTCAGTCAAGGTAGAATTCCGGATCATGAGACGTTGATCTCTCGTGCACATCATCTTAACCAGTGATCTGTTTCCTTTTCCCTTCGTTAAGTTGAACAATTGTTTGTAGCATATGGATCATGGACCAATTAAATTGCAAGTGAATGCAAGGTGCAGATTGCATCTTATATGCTCGAAAACACAGGCGTACTCAAGAAGCTCATAAATACCTACGATTGTGTTTTTTTGCAAATATTATATTTATAGTAACAATACAATGATTTTATCCAAAAATATCCAGTGAAAATAGAAACGGTTGTAATTTGAGTATAGAATAATACAGAAAAATAAAAGTTACATAATATGACTTCTTTTGTTGTTGTGGTGAACACTACGTTCACTAACTTCTTTTGCAGCTTCCTCGTGCAAAGGGATCAAAAGCTGTTCAGCCTTGGCTCGGACGACATAGTGACTAATAAGTTTGTAAAGGCCGAAAAAGATTTTACTGAAAATATTTTAGCCCTGCAGAATCTATGTTTTTTCAACACGTGGAAAAAATCCAAACTAAAGCGAAAATGATACTCGGCCATACCCTACTATGGCCAGCAGCAAAAATCGGAAAGTCTTGATAGAACCTATTAAAAAGTGGTCTAAGTAGCCAATAAGAAATAAAAATTCCATTTTTCTCTGAAATTACAAGTGATATTGGTGGCCCCACATCTCCCAAACCAGACAAACTATATTTCTGAAAAATAGTTTGTCACGTTGTTGAACATTTTCTTTTTCAGATCGGATGAGAAGTAGAAATGAATACTCCCTAATTCATTTCTATCTAACTCGTTACGTTGAGCGATTTTGCATTAAACTCATAATAAGCGCCATTTTCCTTCTGTAGAAGAGCAGATCAACATTTGGACGAAAAAATAAAATTTGTTCTGTTCTATTTCGAAAAAAACGTATAACTGAACTTTAGATTAAATTGGATTATGCAACTAATAATAGAAAATGAAAATTTATTTTATTTTGTAATCATAACAGACTTTTCTCTTTCTTTCTCTTTCTGCAAAATACGAGAAAAAGAACGGAGAGCGAATGATATTGATCTATATCTACGCGTAGAAAAATATATTATAAATATATATATATACTTCTGATCTATGAGAGCACACTGTTAAAAACTTTTACGCCAAATAATGTTGAAATATGTGAAAAAAGATCAAAAACGTTATATAACGAACGTACAGTGTACTACTGCTACACATTTTCACGTCTAGTGGAACATTTTTTACCACTATCGATAGTATCTGCTGTCTGGTTGACTAATGATTCGAATTTTCGTAGGACTGAGCGTGACTCTTGACGTCTTGCGTGAATTTTTCGAAATCTCTATCCATACACAAATTCGAATTCCTCTTGTTTCTAATTTCTTTACGTTTTACGATATCGTTCCAGCGTCATCATCATCATCATTTGGTGTAAGAATACCAAATTTTTTCCTTGATACGGGCGTCTGAAGACTGAAAATTTCTTCAGAAAGTCTGAAGTCTGGAAATAAGTGTGAAAAAATTCAGGCGCTCCTAAAGCCTAAGCAATTCTTTAGCGGGGAAGGAAACCAGAATTACTGGGTAGCTAAAAATGATAAAAGAAGATATTTAAAAAAGCTTTTTTTATAAAAATGTGGAACATGAAATTCCGTATTGGTGTATAAATAAATTTACCGAACTATTGTTTAATGAGGAAAAAACTGAAAAGTATTCTAAACTTTTGCCATACGGACACGAAAGTTTTTGTCCTCTATCAAGCCAGTTGTTGCCTGATACCATCCATTCTACGGGGCATAGGTAAGTATCCCTCGGAGCTGTCTATATCTCATAGCGGATGTTCTTAGGAAACTGTGGTTTAATAAAAAAATCAAATATACAAAGTGCTCTCAACTTTTTTCCACCACTTTACGTTCAATAAAAAGGTTTAAAAGCTATTTCTGCTTTCTTTCATCTTTCATCGAAATCGCTTTTCATTCAGTCATCACCAGAGTAAATGAAAACTAGGATTTTATCTTCTGACTTTTATTTTGTCATTCTATTTATCAAACGATACCTTTCCTTTTTTCGATATTTACTAGTAATTCATTGTTAATCTGTTGATAATGTCATGAATAGATGAAAAAAACCAGATGCAGTGTATCTCATCACACAACAAGAATGACATATAAAGAGCTGAAAACTTTATTTTACTTTATTATTTCTGAAAATAAGTTGAACAATGTTTCCTCTAATTCTAGTAGTAGCACTCGGTCCGCTGGTGTGGTGTCAGTCACCTCCACCGCTTCCGGTATGGCCTGATGGATTCAGGTAAGAGATTTCTCTCCGTCAGATATAGTCACTTCACGTTCTCTGATTTCTTTCTTAGGACAGATGCAACTGTGATCGCCTTCGATGACGAAAATGAACCTCACAGTCATCACAGTATATTCTACTATGCCTATTTGAACGTCAGTGGACGATGGCATGGCATGGAACGTCATGATCACATCGGTTATTGTTATGGTTGGAGTTCAAATCGAAATTGCACGATACTCATAACAAATAACGTTTATATTGTTGGGGAAAATAACGAGTTTTGTTGCATGGCTTTGCCTGGTAATTTCGGTGTACCGCGCACCTGGTTGAAAGGTGCAACATGGCTTGGAGAAGAGGAAATCTTTGGTCAAAGAGTGAATCATTGGTATTCTCATGATCATGAATATTGGAGTCGGGTGGATGAACCCTTTGATGGGGTCAGATATTCAGGACCCAATTTCAAAACACCGAGACAATTTACGAACTACGAAAAATGGGAAAAAGGTTCTCAGAAAGTAGGACTATTTGATCTACCGGCTGATATGGATTGCAGTCAACCTTGTCCATAAATTTTTTATCTTCAAAAATAAACGTTGTACTCTCTGCGAATTGCATATCATTCGTCGAACAGATAGTTTGTCACCAAGGTATTTTGTCGAAATTATTTCGCCGACATATGTGTGTCGGCTGCTTTTCCTCGACAACTCACCTTCACTTTCCTATCTTGTTAGTCTGCTAGTCATCTATGTCGTCTTTATAATTATTCTAGCTGTTATTTTCTCTTCTATTTGCGCAAAAAAAAATCAACATATAATTGATGCTCTTGTGCATTAGTAATTTTTTCACGCATATTTCTCAGCAAAATATTTATCGACAAAATGGCTTGTCGACAAAAGTGCTAGTCGACGAATTATATACATACTCTCTCTGCCAATCTAAGATAAGAGAAGTATAAGTTTAACACGATAGTTTTTGCTGATCATAATACAGCCAGTCGTTAGTTCTGATCGTCGAAAAGCTAGATCAGCAGATAGAAGTTTTTGAATTTTTTTGTTCAACATCATGCAGAAGATAAAGTCTCATAACTATAGTTGTATGGATAGACCGTATAGTCTAAGAACTATGGTCAACTAAACTCATAGTGCATACCCAAAAGTGCGTAGAACAGAAACAGTGAGCATAACGAGTTTTTCTAGTTAACGCAAATCAAATTAAAATAATGTATACTAAAATCCGAAAAAATTAAGGAAATTTAAAATTAGAGTAAGGTTTTACTGCCCCTTTATGTATACATGGTTAGATAGATGCACATCGAGCTGAGGAAGGAAATGTAATTTTTAGCTTTTTAAAACATTTTTTAAGGAAGAAACAATTGAAAAAATTGGAATTATTTTCATTTCTGTACTTCTGGCTTTTCGAAAGTCTTTTTTCCACATGCACCGCTGAAAACTGAGTATGAGGACGATGCCCGATTGAGGTTAAAGATCTATCTAGTATGGACGTATTGGACTGCACATGTAAAAAGTACGTAAACAGTTTTGCAAACCTATCTAGTTTCTTTTGTGAAGAGATGAAGACGATGCTTTGTTATAGAGAAAGTTCATCCAACAGTTAGAATTCTTCCTGTAAGGCGCCGCTAATTCAAAGGAGGAGCAACATCTTATTTCCGCTTTTAATACACATATTCGGATAGAGAATTTCATGCTGAGTCCGAATATGACCTTTTTACTTTGACTTTATTGAGTTTTGGGGTCAAAAAGTTTAAGATACTGAAAAAGACCAGAAAATGCGAAAAACCTCAAATTTTCGAAAATTTTACTCTAACTTTTCCCCTTCGCATTCTAACTCTTTCAGACTAATTT